GTCTGAAATCAGGAAAGAATTCATCCCAGTTTGAAGAAACCAAGAATCTGTCCAGCCTAACCAGGGTCGGGACAGATTGGTTATTGGTCCAAGTGAATCTATTACCCTGAATTGGGACGTCCATATTCCATACTGTTTATGAAGTCAGCAAACATGTTCATCGAACCGGTTCTTCTACCCCTTGTATTCTTCACATCCACCAAAATAGTTGCAATAAAATCACACCCAATTACCCAAGGACAGTTCTGAGGGTTTCTCAAATCTGATAATTCCGCCCAAAAAGCCACCCGAAAACTAGAAACAACAGGACCATAAATGTTTGTGACTTGAATAAGTTTTCCATCTTGTAGTTTCAGCCTTAGAGTGATTGAGAAAATACCAATTCTGCAAGAAACCAAAGAACAGAAAGTGGGGTCCCAAAGGCTCACAATTCCACCAGCACTCCCCGAGGCAGCCAAGGCCTTCCATCTGACCTGGCCCTCCCCCCAAACACTTCGAATTGTAGCAGCATCAACCCATTCCAGCTTAGTTTCTTGGAGCAAGACAATCTTGAAATTCTACTGCTTCAAAGAATCACATACCATCATCCTCCTCCTTCCCGACCCCAGCCCTCTAACATTCCAAAAAAGAATTTTCACTTCCATAAGAAATAACTAAAGAAAATGACCCACACCTCACATCTTCTTAGACCCCCTTGCAGCCCCTTCATTGCTCCCCGCCTTATCATTCAGACATCCCTGGCCGTCTAGAGTAGAAATCCGTTTCTCGTCTAAGTCCCCCTAAAAAAGACTTGCAAACTTCAGTAGACCCATATCACCCACATTGCAACCACCATCATCATTCACACTTCCAATAAAGATACTGTCGTCTGAACTCTCATCCAAATCTTCATCGTTTACGCTACAGAGCACCCAACCTTCATCCAACTCCTCCCTTTCTTCATTTCTCTCTCTTGCATACCTTGGGTTCGGTTTCTCTAAGGAGCGTCACACTGAGCTAAGATTGTCAAGATTTCCATGGGGCATCCACTGTAGAACACTCTGTTTGTCTACTCTCCGCCGCTACAACTTCTCATCAGCAGATCTCGCCATTTTAGAAGATGATAGACCCAAAAAACGCTCTACAACCGATGCTTGTTCCATCCCCTTGCCCCGACCCACGTGAGTTTTTAAGTTATCACGTGGGTCTCTAATATTGCTCCCCGGTTTAGTGATCACCCCGCCCAACACCTTAATCGGTTCGGACCAGGCATTTTGGCTACTTTTTCCACTTAACTTCTTCGCCACATCAGCAAAAGAAAGGCGGCCCACCCTAACTGTGTTTTAATTCAAATAAATTTGAATTAATTTCCTTTACAGGCATGCTTGTCGTTTGGTTTACCCCAAACGACTGATTAAATGCTAATTTAGGTTCCCCCTACAGCTCCTTTTTGCACCCCACTCTCTTTCCTCCACGTGTCCACCACCCTTCCATCTCACCTTCGTCTTCAACCTTGGGAGTTCTTCCCCACCACACCTGTTCAACTTCTGATGCCACCCACACCTTATACCACACACCATCGGAACAGATTTCAAAGAACCTGGGCAATTTCTCGTGTTTGATTCCGGCGACCTTAATCTCAACAGCACCCAAATGACTTTTGTTAGCCTGCAACAGCACCCCTCCGAAGCTCTGAACAATTTGTTCAAGAACAGAGTCCCGCCAGAGGTTGAAAGAAAGGCCAATAAGCTTCAATCCGGTGCACCCATCTTGAACTGCAACTTCATTACAGCTTGGGCTCCAGTTTTAGACCTGTATAAGGCCTCCATCCACAACCACTACTTTGAAGCTCAACTCCTGGTCGCCTGCATCAAGAACGGCCTTAGTTTCTGTAAATGGGAATAGCATTGCTTCATTACCAATGCCTATCACCCCTGCAATTGCATTCAATACTTCCTTCCAATCTTTAACTCCCTTATCAACCACTAACACCATTCTTTTTTTCCACTCATCTGTCCCTACTCCTACCCATATTCTCTGGTGATTAGAAGAGCATACAACCACCAAACCAAGAGGCCCAGAGCCTTGCATTTTTACACTCACAGTAGTCTCAATCATACATCCCTCCTCCTGAGTCTTCCTGCCTTGATCCTTGGGCTTCAGACCAGATGCCTTCACTTCCTCTATCTTCTTTCTAGCCGAGGCAACAAGGAAAGATTCTCCTCCACAAAAGCCAACCACCCTCTCTGCTTTTTCCCTTCCGGCACACAAACCATTTGTTTTCCATTTCTTCCAAAAAACTCAGTCACAGTTATGAACCAACCTTTGTTGGTCCTTTTCAATTCAATTGCAAAGGTCTTACCAGAAACTGACAAAGAGTTTTTCCAGCCTTCCTCCTTACATGAGTTAATAGCACCATCAACAAAACCTTTCACCCATACTATGACCTCCTTCGTTACCAATAATGTCGACCTATTACTCTCTCTGATCTTCAAGACACCCTTTCCTTCTTCAAACTTAAAACTCTTTGCTTCAATCGATAGCTGAGACCTCCATCTTCCAACTACTGTAAAGTCCTTCTCACCCCTCTCACCCATAGTGCTCACTACACCAAGGAAAAATAAGGTGAAGTTGAATTTTGATGGGAGTTCATTGGGTAACCCAAGACCTTCTGGAGTTGAAGGGAGCATTCAGAAATGGTGAGGGTAGACTGATTGCACTATAATAGGTGTGGATGACTCACTATGAGCTGAGATTAAGGCCTTGCTTCAAGGTTTGAGGTTGGCTAAGCAGTGGGGACTCCACAATCTTGAGGTGGAAGGAGACTCCAAGTTACTAATAGGATGGCTGCAAACAAAAAGTTTGAGGGTTTGGACTTATAGACAGCAAATGAGGGAAATTTCTTGCTTGACAAGGGAAGTTAAGGCACTCTTTAAATGGACCAGGAGGTCAGCCAATGGTTTAGCTGATACCATGGCAAAGCAAGGAGCCTTTAGGGGTAATCTGTTTTGGGCTGTGTTGTAATCTTTGAGATAAACTTCAGGGTCAACACTGTTGTGAATGGTTGACATTTGTACGCCTTGATCTATCCTTATTAATGAAAGCTACCATTTCCAATAAAAAAAAAAAGGTGAAGTAGGACTAACATTGTGTGTTTCCAAAAACAGTTGGTTTGGCGAAGGCCAAAATCATGAGCATGACTATAAAACTGTATGTTATGAAACATTTTGATTTGGAAGCCAAGTGGATGTTTTGAGTCCTGAAATTCTAGTCACATTCTTCTTTTGCGTTTCTGTGCAAGTAATAAATTAACTTCACAGAAGCTCCCTTGCACTAGAAATTGAGACTGTGTACTGAAATACTTCATACTAGGTTACTGGTTCACATACCTAGGTAAAACAAAATGGAATTAGCAAACATTTAAATAATTCAACCCTGTTTCATTGAAATTATAACTTTTAGTTCAATACCGATCTTGATACATCATAATACAACTCAGCTTATAATTCAACTAATATTTTGACTAAAAAATGATACAGCCACCATCTCTCTCCATCAAGATTACTTCTACATCAGGGCATTTTAGTTTAGAAAAACAAATGACAAAAGTAAATTAGCACTGCAAAAAGGAACTGTTTGTTTGTTTGAAGACGAACCTGAATACTGGATTCTTCATCACTGACTCGAGAAATAATCTCAATGCAAGCAGTAGTAAATTCTGAAAAATTAGCACTAGAAATACACATATCCCTGATAATCTTGATAGCTCGTTTGCGAACACTCACTCCCGTATCTTTTATCCTCTCAGCAACCTTTTCAAAATACTAGAGCCATAGGAGGAAAAAACTTTAATTAAAAATAAAAAACCATGTTGATAACAAAAAAAAGGAGAGAATGACAATAAGTTTGGTTTCAGATACCTTCAAACCAACATCTGGATGTGAAGCAATATGCCTACCAACAAGTTCCAGTGCAGCCTCCCGTACAGAGATCGCAGAATCACAGAACCTTCCTTCAACAGCTGATTGGACACGTTTATCACACAAAACCTCTGGATCGGCTTCAACAATCATGCTAACCTGTTTCAATTATTAAAGTAGTAATGATGCTAATAAGCCATAAATAGGAATCTGATTTTCTGCCACATGCATCAGAATGTATTTAGAAGGATAATGAATTCCTGCTTACCGCACGTAATGCCTTCGCCCTAATTATGGGAGAGTTCTCCCTCAAACTTGCCTGATGTCAGAACATATGTTAAGAATTAAGAAGGTTTTAGATAACAACTAAAGACAACAATGTAAATATAAACTATATTCTACTTACCAGAAGCATGCAGAGGATTTTATCAAATCCTCTGGAGAAAGAATTATTTTGTCCCAACACTAAGGATATCTTTTTGACCGAGTCTCTAGTTAACGAAGAAGAGACTGTCCCAAAGTCCCGCACAATATCTTTTGCCTTAAGTCTACCAAGGTAGTAAACAAACCTCTCCTGAGATCTGGGATCATCTTTGTACCATAGGCAAAGGTAAAACCTGCAAAGAACAGCCTTATAGCATCAAAACAACATAGTAAACATGGAATTACTTCAGAAGTTCAACTGAGAAACAAACCAGCGAGCAAAAAGGTGTATGTCATCTGTAGAACCAGCTTCATAGAGGTAATTCAAGAGCATTTGTTGAACAATCTCCACTTTGGTAATCATTTCTGAAGCTTCAGAAGTTCTTTCCGACACCAACTCATTCTTCTGGGTATCATCCTTGGACTGTGATTTGCAGTATGATTGCAGAACGACCAATTGCTTCTTACAGAGACAAAATTGGCAGCACCAACCACGAGCAGGAACTTCATGCTCTGCAACTCCCATACAATCTGTATGAAACAATCTTTGACAACCATGACAAAGGTACAACATTTTTCCACCCCTTCCATCAAGGCAAATAGAACATACATCTTTCGGATAACTGTCATCATCTCTGTTTCCGCCAACCAATTCCTGTAAAATCCATAACTTATCCATGTGGCATAGAACAGAATCACGCTTCAACCTTGCAGCAACTGTCCCAAGAATGTCAATGGCCATGGACCGTGCAGAGATATCCTTTGATTTCAGTCCAGCATTCTGGAGCAGTAGGACACACAGAACCTGCAAGTAACACTATTAACACAAAACCAATGTAAAACACTTGATTATGTATTTTGTTGAGAACTATCACCTCAAGAATAGGAGCAGAAGCAGGATATTCGGGCAAGTTCAATGTTGTCAGTAAATCCATAACAAGATTCTCCATAATCACTTTCAACTCAGATGCATCCTGGGTTTTCACTGTTGTAAACCGCTGAAGAACACGAGTCCAGAAAAGGCAGCAACCCTCTGTAGCAGCTTCATGGCATTTTGTTGGATAACTAGGATCAAGAGAGGCTTCTAAGATTTGACTTCCAGTTAATGGTTGCCTTAACGCTTCAGGAAGATTTGCACTGCACTGAACCAACTGAATCAGCAAGGCTGTGATCATCTGAATCTGCCTCTGCTCTTCATCAGGTAGATGGTAAGCTCGCAGTGCACGTTTTGAAGATGGTAGCTTCCAGAGAAGTTGAAGTGTTTCATCTATTAAAAAATTCCTATGCTGTGTATATGAAGAATACACCTGCAACCAATCATGAAATATCGAACTAAATAAGAACATAGAGATTGGCATAACAGACAACTGGTCAACGAAAAATCACATAAATGCATACCCCGCAGATTAAACTGATGGCCTTCAATTGCAATAGCTGGATATTATCAACTAAGAAGGTTCCAAAGCTCGTTTTCATTAACTGCAGAATGCAACTATCTGGTAGGCGTTCTATTAATAAAAAGTCCTCAAGAAAGCCAAGAATTGTACAAAGTTTCTGGAGTATTGAATTAACTGCAGCAGAAACCCTGACAACATAACAACAGAGAGTAATGAGAAGATAACTCATTTGGGTTTACAAAGAAAAGCTACATGATCTAAAAACCAAATCAAACAAAAAGAGGCAATAGTAATAACCACACTTGTTCACTGTTGACTTCTTCATTTTAACACTCCTAGAACCACGGCGCTTCTTGCTCACTGAACCAAATTCAGCATCAATCTCTTCATCATCAACTTCTGGATGGAAAAAAAAAAAAGTGATGATAAGCTTATCCAATCAATATGTCACAAAAAAATACAAGACAAAAGGCAGTTGTAAATTGTAATATCACATGAGCATACCAATAAAGAGGATAAAACAAATAAATGAATGCTAATCTACTAGATCATAGCACAGTTAAGTGATGCCTAAGTTGTGCCCAGGCAACACCTACACAATAAAACACTCTTGAAGTTCATTTTATGGGGATGCATCAAATTATATAATGTAGTAGCCAGCTAGGTGACAAGGTGTAAAGCTTGGCATGCCAAATGACAAGACAGTCACCATAATTCCCCAGTTCTAACATAATAGCATGGTTGTTGATACACCCACTCAACTGGTTTATATACTTACTGTAGAGGGTTAAGACAAAAGGGTTCTAAAGCATATGAAGTTTTGAGAAAAGGAGAGAAGAGAGTGCTTCACAACAAGAAAATATTTTCATTTTGTACAAGGTTCATCTTTTTTCTATTAAAATACTGCTGATATACGATGTGTTTGATGGTCACATGATACAAATATAAGTTATCTTACCTGATCTATGTATTTTGAATAAACTTGTGTATTTCTACACAGGTACTTTTCATTTTGTAATGCTTTTTACCTTTGTTTGTTGATGTGTTTCTATATAAGAATCAATTGTATTGTATTATATTGTACAGACTACTTACATGACTGGAAGTGTCATTGCCTTTTGAAATTGATGATTTGGTGTGTCCAGTCCACTGTCCACATTATTGCCTATTTTTTGATGAATCTAGAATAATAGAAAAGGATAAACATGATCCATGTCAATCATGGAAGTCATATTAAAAATCCCGGCCTTCTTTGTTGGAATCTGTTATTGACACCTAAGCACCCAGGCAATAAGGCACTCGTCTACATCAGCTAGACTTTCATATATGCATAGACAACTTAACTCAATAAAGCCTTAATCCAAACTATCAAGGTACATGAACCCAGCCTCACCATTGCACTCTATCAAGAGACATGTCTTACGTCAACTAGCAAGTCCTTTGATCACTGCTTATTACTCTTTAGCCCATGTCTTCTTTGGCCTTCTCCAATCATTGCTCTTTTAGAGCCTTCTAACTGTCGGTCATTCCATTTCATAGGAAAAACCATCGGCCATCTATGCACATGGAAAAAAAACATCTCAGTCAATGTATCCTCATTCAGTCACCTGTTTGACCAATCTCAAGCCATTCCTAATGCATTCATTACTAATTTCATCATTTCCAATCTTAACCTTCATTCATTTGTAGAATCATTATTTCAATCATTCGTTTTTGGACATGGCGTTTCCTAATTCCTAACACACTGAACCACATGACACTGCTGTTTTATGGTCATCTTATAAAGTTTTGCTTTTAATATAATTGGCATACAACAACCATACAACTTAGATAAATCATTTTGCTCGCCCTGCTGTTGTTTTTTTGAGAAAGGTAAAAATTTCATCACTGACGATATACAATCGCAAAACTTCCATAAAATGGGTGACTGTACATTTATACAACAAGACAAGAGAAACTCCTTTTCTAAAAAACAAATAAACTTAGCTAATTCAGCCCATCAAAATATGAGCAGAAATAATATTGCTAAAAGGAGACTCCCTAAATTCATTTAAAACTGACAACCAGGAAAACAAATGGAGCAAAACACCTTCCTTATCACTTCATCTTCCTGGGCTACACTATTGTGAATACCATCTGATATTTGTCCTTCCAAATAGTCCAGATTACATCCAAAGGAATGGAGAAACAAACCTACTTGCCTATCCACTTTAACCCTTTTAATAACCCTGGTATTCAAAACTTCCTTTATTGATTTCAAGGAATACAAATTGATATTGAGTTCTTTGAAAACATTGCACCAAATTCTCCAACTTTTTTTTATCAATAACTGAAATTCATTAATAAATCAGAAAAATGGAAGATACAAATAAGGAGGAGATAAACTCTCTTAACTCCCCCGGATAGAAGCAAGAAAATGGATTACAATAGAGCCCAAAATTAGTGTTTATTCCCACCCCTTGTTTAGCTAAAGCATCAGCCATGGAGATGGCATCCCTCTTCACCCAATTACGCTTGATATCCAACCCATGTGTCAAATGTCTAAATTTCCTTTTTTTTCGTTTATGTAAGCCCACCATCCCCTCTCCTCTTTTTGAAGCCAGACAATAACCAACTTAGAATCACCTTCATTTTTTTTTTTTTGATAATTGAACTTAGAATCCCCTTTAATTAGCACCTAAGAAAGGTCAAGCTCTTTCGTTTTCCTAGCTCCTTCCAACACAGCAAGGATTTCCACCCTTAATGAATCACCAATACCAATGGGAGCAGAGAAAAGAGCCAAAAAAAAAATTATAGGAAACGGTAACTTTCATTAGAGAATTGAAAGGATTACAGACTTACCACCCACAAAATGGATGAAAAAAAAAAAAAACAACTTACAAACAAGCCCAAAACAAAGCCTCCCTAGTAACTCCTTACTTAGCTAAAGTATCAGCCATTCCATTTGCTGACTTTCTTACCCATTTAAAGTGCACCCCACTCTCCTTGCTAAGCTAATAATTTCTCTTAGAGGCTGTCTAAGAGACCAAACTCCCAAGTTTCCAGATTACATCCACCCTATTACCAGCTTGGAGTCTCCTTCCACTTCTAACTGTTGCATTCCCCATTGTTTTGCCAGTCTCAAACATTGAAGTAAGGCCATTACTTCAGCCCTTAATGAATCTCCCACCCCAACTGGGCCCTAGTATAGGGCCAAGACTTTTCCTTCCTCATTTCTGAACACACCCCCAACTCCCGACTGACCTGGATTACCCAAGGAGCTTCCATCAAAGTTTAGCTTCACCCTGAGCTGAGGCGGTGGTACCCAACTTTCTTGTACCACAAGGGAGGGAGGAGAAGATACAACTATAACACTCCAATTTCTAATTAAGTCAACTGAGGAGAAGTCCTTGAAGAGATGATTTCAGCCAATGCATAACCTTGATGGTGACAACCTCAACAAGTGCTTCCTTGGATTTTTCTTGCCCTAGGAAGATCCTATTGTTACTCTCTTCCCAAATTGACCAAAGGATGGCTGCTCTTGTTTTTCTCCACATTACTCTGCCTCTTTTCCTTGGTTGTCAAAAGAAGCTAGAGTCAAAAAGGTTCAGCACACCCGAGGGGGGATTCCATCTGCAACCAAACAAAGAAGAGAACCAATCCCACAAATAAGAAGCAAAAGGGCAAGAAATCAAAAGATGAGTCGTCGTCTCACCATTTCTTAAGCAAAGGTAACATACATGTGGGGAAAGACACTAGTCTAGCCTTTTTCTTTGAAGTACATCCATAGTATTGATCTTTTGAAGAGCCACTTCCTAGCAAAAAGCCCTAACCTTAGGCGGCATAGGAGAATGCCAAACTCCTTTAGCAGGAAAGGAGACAGACACAATAGAAGACTAAGCTAAGGCGTTGAAAAAAGATGAACAAGAGAATGTTCCTGAAGAATTTCCAAATTTTACTGTCTGGGTAGGAAAGACCTAGGAAAATTGAACTCAACACAGTGAACAACTCATCTGCAGAAACCACTTCTAAATCCCTCAACCCTCTTCCCAAACCCAATCCAAAGTCCCCTTAGACATACGAAGTGAGGAGATGGTTTTGAATTTATTTAGGGAAAGAGAATACATTATCGGGAATCTATCCTTAAGGGGGGTGTTCCCAAGCTAAAGGTCCTCCCAAAATAGAATTTTATTACCTAAGCACACATCAAATCTGATGAAAGGCTGAAAGGAAGGCAAGACTCCAGCAATTGCTTTCCAAGGGGAGAAATTTGAAGCCCTAGGGTCGACACTAGCATCCCATCCATTAGCTGCCATCCCGTGAATACTTTCCACCACCAAGTGCCACAACCTGTCCTACTCCAAAGGAAATCTCCACAACCATTTTCCTAACAAAGCTACATTGATATTGCCAATGCCTAGACCCCCCTGCTTCCTTTTTCCTAGAAACTACTTCCCACTTCACTAAATGGTCTTTTTTTGAGTCAACCAGTTCCTACAAAAAGTCTCTCATGAGCTTTTCTAACTTATTGGCAACCTTGGTAGGAAGCATAAAGGTAGACAGAAAATACACAGAAAGGTTGCCCACAGTGGACTTGATTAAAGTGATTCTACCCCCTAGTGAGATATAATTTCTCTTCCACCTTGCTAGCTTCTTAGTGAATCTTTTCCAGACTGGGTACCAAAAGCTTTCTATTCTAGGATTTACCCCCCAGAGGCAGACCTAAATATACTAGAGGCCAACCACTTACATCGCAACCTAAAGCCCTAGCCACCAAATGCACCTCATCTTCTCATAAATTCACCACCGCTACACAACTCTTGTTCCAATTGATTTTCATATTTGAGACTCTCAAAATGCATCACCACCAATCTCAAATTATCCATCTCTTCAATTTCCCCTTCACAAAAAAGAATGATATCATCCACAAATTGTAGGTGAGTGACGATCACTTGTTGCTTCCCAACTCTCCAACCTTTTAGTAGATTTCTTGAATCAGCCCTAGAAATCAAGACACTTTGGACATCCACTACTAAGGTGAAGAGGAAAGGTGACAAAGGGTCTCCTTGTCTAAGGCCCCTCTTTGCAGGAAAGAAGTCCCTAACTACTCCATTCATAAGATTGAGAAGTGACAAGAGGTAATACAACCCTCCATCCACATACACCATCTCTCCCCAAAGCTTCTATTCCTCAACACTTCTATCAAGAAATCCCAATCCACCAAATCATAAGCCTTATCTAGGTCAAGTTTACAGAACAAACCCCTTTCTCATTTTCCCTTTTTTATAATCCACACATTCATTGGCTATTAAAATATGATTAATAATTTGTCTCCCTTTCACAAAGGCCCCTTGATTCGATGAGATTAAGGAAGGGAGGACTTTCTTGAGTCTTAGTGCAAGAACTTTAGAAAATATCTT